AAGTGCAGTTGTGGGAAGTGCAGTTGTCGTCCCCGCTGCGCTGCGGACCACCGCGCTGTCCGGGCTCTTGGGCGCAGCGGAGTTAGCGGGGTCTTGCGGGGTCTTGCGGGGTCTTGCCGGCTGCTCCAGGGTCCGCCCTCCAGCAGCGTCCCCGCCGGCCTTTCTCTCGGCACAGGGGCCCGGCGCGGGGACAGAGACGCTGGGCTCGGTGCAGCGGCCTCGGCCAGCCCAGCCGTTCTCGCCCCTTCCTCGTGCCTGCTGTGAGCGGGAGAAGGTCGTTTGGGAGCCGTGATGACTCAGGTTACACCGGGGCTCTACTGAGGGAGGACACCAGGTAACCGGGTTTGCTTCTCTCTTGCTCTCAGGACCTCCTCAGATGCAGAGTTCTGACATCGGGGATTTTTGAGACGCGATTTCAAGTGGACAAAGTGAACTTCCAGTGAGTGTGCTGCTGGGACGGGCGCTGCTGCGGGGGGACGGCACAGAGGCCGCAGCTCCTGCAGGGCCCAGGGCCCAGGGCTTAGTGCCTGAATGTGCATCACTAACCTCTGGGATAAGCACCGCTGGGGTGTGATTGGAACTCTAGGGAGGGTTGAAATGTAGATTTTCACCACTTATTTTGAAGTAGAAATGAGAACACCTAAAAGAAAAATGTTTTGATCCTGGCTGTAGATTTGATTGGCCCTTTTGTTAAATCAGGAGTTTGAGGAGTGAAACTAGCAACTTCTTTTTGTCTCCAGTGGGATCTTCTGGGCTGCCCAAGCACAAACTCCACGGACCAAGCTTATGTCTTCATTTTTCTCCCTATGATAAAGGTTAATTCTCCCTCCACAAAGGCCTTTGCACTGTGTGCTCTTTTCAACCCACAGCCCTGACCCTTGTCCCCCGTTACTTCCTACCCAGGCCAACTATCTCAGCAGGAGCCTGGCTGGTGCCCTGTCCCCTGGTTTACCCATTCCAGTCCATTCTACTCACTGCTGCAAAATGAATCCTCCCAAAGCACAGCTGAGATCATGTTGGTCCTCTGCTGAAAAAGGTTCGGAAGCTCATTGCTGCCTCTGCACCCTAAAACTCAAGCCCTCCACCCTGTGACCTGGGCCCCTCCCCACCAGCCCCACTTCTCCCCCCTACCTGCCACCTGCCCTACTTCCCTCCCCCCTCCCCATTGGACTCCTTCCTGTCGGTGTCCTTCCAGTCCATCCAGCTCTTCCCGCCACAGTGTTTCTCCTGACCTCCAAGCCCCAGATGCTTCCTGGGCTAAGTAAACCCCACAGATCTAGCAAAGCATCCTTCAAATCTCAGCCCACAGTGACTCCTTGGAATTTCTGTAGCACCTGCTGTGCAGCCCA